AGAATATTGTATATAATATTCTGTATATAATTGTATATAATATAAACACATATTTTTTTTAAAAAAAGGAAAAAGTTCAACGTACAGAAACGGAAAAGAGGTAAAATAGCTACTACATGGAAGAACACAGATTAATAGAAGCAGAATAATTATGTTATACGAGTTAGTTGGGGGCAACCCTAACAAAGACAGATCCTTATATGGCTAAGGTCTAGTGAAGTCTTCTTACTTAACAGCTGTTAACACCCTCAGCCCTCACAAGAAGAGAGATTCTGAGGTGTTGGCACTCCCAGTGTAGCCTGAAGGCCTGCAAACCAGCAGCTTTGCTATCTGCAGGCAAGAAAAAAAAAAAAAAAAGGATGCTCCAGCTAGGAAGAGTGTATTCACTCTTTTTCTTAGGTCCCGTTCTTCGGGGCTGAACGGTACCCACCCTGTGGCTGAAGGCTGTCTTCCGTAGTCAGTCTACAGATTTCAAATGCTAATCTCTTCCAGACCCACCCTCACTTTAGCTACCTAAGCATCCCACATCCCAGCCAACCTAGCACGTCAGAACCGTCCAGACAACCACCTCACGGCTCACTGATGATTTCTCTTAAGCACTGCAGAGGAAAAAGCCAGAAGGCGGCACTTAAATTACTCGCGGGGTGGGTGGGGCACGGCAAACTGAAATAGAGGTCTTTGATAGGTGTCGAACCTGGGTCAAAAGGCTGAGGTGCCTATTTAACATTTCAAAGCAGACCTGGCGGCCAGGTTCTCCCAGCATCCCTCAGTCCCTACCCGGGCACCCTCCCCTAAACTCCAGCACAGAAACTGGGCGGCCCTTCCAGCAGAAGCTCTGCCCTATATAATCGAGTCATTTTGGTTACCCAGCCTCTTTTGTCTACCTGAGGTGGTTTGAAAGAAAATAGCCCCAAAGGGAATGGCACTAATGGGAGGTGTGGCCTTGTTGGAGTAGGCGTGGTCTTCTTGGAGGAAATATATCACCGTGGAGGCTGGCTTTGAGGGCTCAGAGATGCCACACTGAGTGAGTCAGCGGCTTCCACACAGCATCTCCTCCAGAACCACGTCTGCCTGCTTCTCTCCTGATAATGGACTGAACCTCTGGACTGTAAGCTGCCACCTCAATCAAATACTTTTTTATAGGAGTTGTCTTGGCCTTGGCGTCTCTTCATAACAATAGAAACCCTAACTGAGACACCAGCCTTTACCTTCCTGACTTACCACCACCACCATCACCTCCCTTTCCCCCTCCTGGCTGGGGGTCACAGTCACTCTGACAGCCCCCAGGTGTCTCTGCCTCTGGCTATGTTTTTCCTTTATCTACAATTAACTTTCTCCTCCACCCTAGTTAGGAGCCCTCAGGACCTTCCTTCTTCATTTCTTTTTATTCCCTCAGTCCTTTTATTTAAAAAAGCAAGGGAAAAAAGCGTAAGCAAACGTGTTAAAATAGGAAGCCGTTCTCTTTAAATTATGCTGACGTTGTAGCCCCGTGGTAGAGTGCATATTCAGCAAGCATGGTGGCCCAGGGTTCAATCCCAAGCACTTCAAAAGAAAATTACTAGCATAAATCCTACCGTTCTTCTTCATATTCTGTGGTAGTGTTTCATAAATACCGTTATAAACCGTACCCACAACTCAGACGGAAGCCCCCTGCTTGACCAGAGGCCTAGACAACTGCCAGAACTCCAGATCAGTGCCTAGCCCAATGTCATCAGAAAGGCTTCCTCCAGCAGCAGAAGGAAGCGGATGCAGAGACCCACACCCAAACATTAGCCAGAGCCTGTGGAACCCTGTGGAAAAGAGAGTGAGGAAGGACGGTAGGAACCAGAGGGGTTGAGGACACCAGGAGAACAGGGCCCACAGAATCAACTAAGCAGGGCTCATAAGGGCTCACAGACTGAAGTAGCAATCCCAGAGCCTGTATGGGTCTGAGCTAAGTTTTCTACATACATATTATAGTTGTTTAGCTTGGGGTGTCTGTGGGATTCCTAACAGTGCAGAGTGTGGGGTGTCTCTGACTCTCTTGTCTGCTTTTGGCACCCTTTTTGTCCTATTGGGTTGCCTCATCTATATGAGGGTTTGTGCCTGCTCTTTTTGTAAATTGTTAACTGTGTTCAGTTGATATCCCTGGGATGCCTGCCCTTTTCTGAAGGGAACAAGAGGAACAGAGGATCTGAGGGAGAGGGGAGGAGGGTGCTGGGAGGAGTGGAGGCAGGGTAGGCTGCAGTTGGGATGTATTGTATGAGAAAAGAATAAATAAAAAGAAAAACCAATATAAAAACATTTCAATGGTACATGCAATCACAGAAATTACAGTTAGTATCTTGTGGTTTGTGTTTGTGTGTATGACAGGTTCTCATGACAGTTGGCAATGTTACACAAAACTAAACCTAGCAGGGGCTAGGTGGAGCACTCAGTCGGTAAGAGCACTTGCTGTACAGTGTGAGAATCCAAGTTCGAATCCCAAAAACCAAAGTGAGCACTAGTAATCCCAGCACACCCACCGAGAGATGGGAAGCAGAGATTCCCTGGGAGCTCATGGCCAGCTGGCCTGATAAAACAGAAAAACAAGACACCCTGTCTCAAACAAGGTGGAAATTGAAGACTAACACCTGACTTTATGGTATGACCTACACAAGGTACACATATATACACACAGACACACGTGCACAAATGCACACCTAAAACAATCATTTCACTTCTTGATACACACATGCATTGTACAAATGTTCCTTAGAAATGGTGTGGACATGGCCATGATGGAGTTCTGTCCTTCCTGTCTCCAGGGCCCATGAAGATAATCAACTGTATTTGCCTGAGAAATACAGGAGGCCTTTCTGTGTCTCCTGCTCCGACCCAGCCCATAAAAGAAGGCAGAGCACTCCCTAAGCCCAGTCTGGTGCTGTGAGGGACCCTTCCCCACCCAAGTATTATCTTTTTCTCTGTGGAAGAAAACAACTTATCTTCTGTTTTCCTAAGTGATACTGAACCTTGGGGCATTGTGTCAGGGTGTCTGGGGTGATAAGCGCCCTGTTACTTGGAAAGTCTTTACAGCAGGGTAGGAGATAAAATTCAAGGAAAGGTTTCCTCAGAAGAGGCCAGAGTGTTCTGAAGGCAATCAAGGAGAAAGATAGCTGGGCCAGAAATGTGAACCAGTGAGGTTGGAAGAGATTCGACTGCTGTCAAAATAGGAGTTGTGCTTTTGTGGGTCAGACTATGTCTATACAAATCCCGTACCATTCCACAGGCCTCTTTGTTCAAAGACCATATCAAAAGAAATCCTTCTTCCTTTATCTGTGTCCCAGGGGACTTCCTGTTGGCCCAAAGGACGGGTATTCACAAAGGTCCCGAAGCTTGAACTGAAGCGGAGCTGTGTCCTCTGAGGACCACACGGCCTGGAATTCAGCCCTGCGCTTACGATAGGGCCTTCATCTGGCTCCACTCTCCAGGGCCCTCCTGTTTCGCCCAGTCCTGGGTTTGTTTACAAGCGAGCCAATTAACCTTTATGACTTCCTGTCCTCTCCTGAAAATGAAGAGGGATGGCAGCGGTGGCTTGGAGGTCCTCTTACGACTACTGGAAGAGACCGTCCATTTGAAGTGCCTACTGCACAGGAGGCACTTGATTAACAGGGGCTCTTTCCCTTACCCTTCCACCCTCTCAGGATCCTTAAAGGGCCTTTCCTTGCATGCTTTGTCATCTAGCAGCTAATAGCATACTGTCCCATACAGTTTGCTTTTTTTCCCCAAGTTAATCTTTCCTAAGCATCACAGAGTTCACAGAGGAGACACCGTCCGTACCTTATGGTTGTGACTTTACAGCATACAGAGCGTGTTCAAAGACCCTGTGTGAGACGCCTCTTGCATCCGCACAAAGATGCCTAGCCCCCAACTCTGTACCTGTATTAGCCGATGGACGATTCTTGGTCTCAAAGGCCAGTCTGTCCCCAAGTTACTTCATAGAGAGAGGATACAGTTTCCACTTTGAAAAAAAAAGAGGATGGTGAATTTATAGCAGCCTCAAAAGAAAGTGTGTGGCCTTGAGGAGTTTTGGTTTGTTAGATGAAATGCAGAATGATTATGGGTTCTTTTTCATGGGAGTACAGTGGTCTGGAAATACCTGGGGTGTGCTGTGCCTTGGAAGGGAAAACCCCAAACCTGTGATGGTATGGTAGAGCCCATTGCTAAGCAACAGAAGCAGCTCTCGGCTGTACAGGAACAAAAATTCTTTGTTCAGTACGATGAAGAGTCATTCACTGGAAACTATTTAATAGAATCTTAGCTGCAACGTCATGTGTGTTATCCAAAGCGCCCATCCGTGGCTGTTAACTAATTATTATGGGACAGTAGCTCATAGCTGTGTTTACTTTGTCTTTTGTCATTTTTTTTTCTTTTTCTTTTTTTTTATGAGTTCATGCTCATGTGTATGTGCAGGAGTGCGCATGTGTGTGGGAGGGGAGTAATATTTGTGTGTGGTCTATGTGAAGGTGTGTGGGGGTACAAAACCCGATGGTTCCTTTTATCAACAACGTATTTCTAGGATCTCTTCGTCCACATGCATGCCAGGGGAGATGAACGACTTTCAGCCCTCTGCACCTTGTGACTCTCATCAGATTGCCGTTGACGGCTCCGCTGTCAGGATGATACAGGATTAAGGATGTCTGCAATCGATTAGGGAAGGCGGTAATCAATTCACAGCCCCGGCCTGGAACGGTTTACATATCTTTCCTGCAGAGCCATGCCAAGGTTTTAATTATTGGCACCCGCACCTGGAGCGGGGTTGGTGTTGATGTATCCACTTCCCAAGGTTAAAGGAAAGGGGTGGGGCTTGTTGAGCAGGGGCTGTGAAGAGTTTGACTAGGATAAATTATCGTAAAGGTCAATGTAATCACACCCCATCAGTTCTCCCGAATCTAAATAGCCGTGCACCTGAAGGCTGGTTCTGTTAACACAGTCAAGTAATTAGTTATTGACAGAGCAAGGAGCGCGTAATTATTTATTACCTGAATGTGATACTGATTCGTGTCTGTGCTGACGAAGATCATCAGTCGGATACAAAGGGACAGCACGTTCATTTATCCCAGGCTTCATGGAAGGTAGTTCTGAGTTTTCATCCCTAAGGCAAAAAACAAACAAAAAAAAGTTGTAAACACTTTTATCATGAAATAAAAATCCGTCCACTTTCTTCGGTCAGAGCTTGAAGCTCTTGGGTTTGTGAGATGAATTCCTAAGCCTCTCAAAGCAAATTTGAGAAGCTTTTCTGAGGTCCAATAAAACGCTAGATTCCAGCCAGTGACTCACCGCATTAGCTCTCTGGCAACGAACTGACATTTCTGGCCTGTGTTCTCCAACATTCTATAATTTCATTCTTAGGAGACCATGGCAGTTTCTCCTAACTGAGACTCACACTTGGTAAAAACTGGGTGATAATTACAGAAAGGCTCATTAACAAATATCACCGTCCAGGTGAACAATTCTCTAATTACCATCTGGGTAGTGGTTTCACACGGGGATGGATTTTATTTTTCCTCTGTGGTTCCAAAAAAGGATGGCATTATAAAGGCTGTGCCAAAGGTGATTCAAACACTGGCCAATGAAAAACTCTCTGAAGAGCAGAGAAGAAGGCTAGGTTTGGGCATGACTTCATGGCTTGCCTTAGAAAGCCTCTGTTTCTGGGTCACCTTGTCAGCTCCCCCAGGACCTTTTAGTCCCTAGAGGCCAACTGCATTTGGAGCCACACTTCCATCTATCCTTATTACTAGAAAACACACTCTCAACTATGCCTGTTCATGCGGAAACATAGACATCCTTTGTGCTGTCTGGCTGATGCGGTTCGAGCTTTTACAGGATTTCAAAAGACACCGATGCATTATATGTGAGTCACAACAGCAAATCATACAAGAAATATGGTGACCAATGGAGATTTGGGGAAGAAATGTTATACCCACTACTAGTCACAGAACTATAAACAAAAGTGCCTGAGAAAGTATTTGTCTCCTAACAAGTTAAATGTTTAATTACATTTATGTAGGGGTGGGGCATGTGAGCACCACAGCACATGAGGGAGGTCAGGGGAGAACTTTCAGGAGTCAGTCTGTCCTTCCTCCATGTGTTGTAGAATATTATCTTAACGATGTAAAGATGTCTTACATTTGTTTATGCTGCAGAGTGTTACTTTAACAGTGTGAAGGTGTTATTACAATTGTTACATTTGTTTCTACTGCCTTTGTTAACGGGGTAAGGATGGGTCACATTTGTTTCTGCTGCCTCTGTTAACGGGGTAAGGATGGATTACATTTGTTTCTCCTGCCTTTGTTTAATTAGGAAAAGATGTGTTGCCGTTTCACCTTGCCTGCCTAAGGCACCTGACTGGTCTAATAAAAAGTTGAATGTCCAATAATAGCTAGGCCGAGAAGAGAGAGGTGGGAATGGCAGGCAGGGAGGATAACAGAAGGAGAAATCTAGGCAAGAGAGAAAAGGAGAAGAGAACAAGGGAGAAAAAAAGGAAAACACCAGAGGCAAGCAGCCAGGCAGCCACCAGCCAGGCAGCCAGGAAAGCCATGAAAGTAAGAGACACAGAAAAAAAATGTAAAAAGCCTCCAGGCAAAAGATAAATAAAAGCCGGGAGGTGGTGGCATGTAATTTTAATCCCAGCACTCAGGAGTCAGAGGCAGGTAGATCTTTGTGAGTTCGAGGCCAGCCTGGTCTACAAGAGCTAGTTCCAGGACAGGCCCCAAAGCTACAGAGAAACCCTGTCTCAAAAAAACAAAAACAAAAACGAAACAAAACAAAAAGATAAAGAGAAACAGGTTAATTTAAGGTAAAAGAACTAGCCAGAAACAAGCCTAAGCTAAGCCAAGCATTTATAACTTATAATAGGAAGTTTCCGTGTCATGATTCGGGAGCTGGTTGGTGGCCCAGAAGAAAAATCCTGGTACACAGGTGGGCACTGGAATCAAACTTAGGTCATCAAGCTTGCTGGCAAGCGCCTTTCCCCACTGAACTATCTCAGCAGCCCACCCCCCTAAATTAGAAAAGTGTTTCATGGGAGAAATTGGGGGAGAAAAGCATAATCAATATATATTGTACGAAAATATTTTTTCAATTATATAAAGGAAGGAGTTTCATTTGTGAGTCGTAATACGAGTGTATAGTCTTCCCCTTTTGCCACAGCCTGGACTTTATAAACGCAGATGCTGTAATTCTGTGCAGGAGGTGTTAGGAGAACCACTAAGAAGGAAAGTGCAGGGCCTGGGAAGGTTTTCCACTTCTCCTTCCTCACCTTTGGATCCGTTTGCCCACCCCTTGATTCCAGAATTTTACTCCTAAGAGTTTATCTTCAAGAAGTAAAAGAGCTGGGGAGATGATTCAGAAGATAGGGGCATGTGCCCCTCTTGCAGAGGACCTGAGTTTGGTTTTCAGCACCCAGCTCATAGATGTCTGCAACTCTAGCTCCAAGGAGATCTGATACCTCTGGCCTCTGAGGGCACTGCACTCATATACAAACCCACAGTCATACTCATGGCTTCATTAAAATAAGAGAGTCTTCCAAAATTAAATATCAGAGAAGTAGGCAAAGATTTACATTCAAGGCTGTTCATCTCAGAATCATTTATTAAGATGGAAATTTCATTATAGTAAAACAATCATAACAAGAAGGCTTAATTCTTAGGTATGCTTAATTATGGGACATCTACAAGCTATTGCATACTTAATTTTACAATGCCCTATAGGCAAACAGAAAATCCTTCATGACATATAATTAAAAGGGAAAAGCTCGTACAAAAATTGAAGGGAAACTAAGTTGTACGTGTGAAAACATATGTTTCCCCTTAGATGATGAGATAATGGAAGATTGTGGGGTTTTGTTTTGAATATTTGAACACTCCAAAGTTTATAGCAATGTATTAGCATTTACTATAACAAAATACTTTTTTGCTTGGGGCCAAATAAGTTTCAAGAAAAAGGGCTCATTTAGCTTACAGTTCTGGAAGTTCAGGGGCATGACACCAGAACCAACTGATCCCTGGTGAGGACCTTATGGCAGATGCCATCACAGTGGTGGCAGAAGGACAGAGAGATCACATGGCAAGACAGAAAGCCAGAGGAGGGGGGGGCTCCCTCTTAAAGGACCTATCACTTCTCCTCAATACCATTCTGGGGAGCAAGCTCCCAGCCTACACACTCTTGGGGATACACTCAAACCATATCCAAACCTTAGGAACCATAATGAACATGTATTGTGTTTGCAGTTGACAAAAGATATGTCACTTTTCTAAGGAGGCATGTATAGAACATAGCACAAAAGTCTAACCCTGAGTGTGAGTGGGCCATTCCTAGAAGGCGTGTTGGAGCTGAGTCTTAAAATCAACCAGGATCAACACACTGTTGAGGGGTGGGTGCCACTTCAGGCAGAAAGGGGAGCATATACACAAAGACCTACACTTTGAGGGCAGAATCTGGGCTCCTAGGTTGTTTGCCATACATTGCAACTCCAGCCTGGCGGTTGTTGTGTGGTCTTTCCTGTTCCCACCATCCAAGCGAGAAAAGGGCACATAGACTTCCCACATAGATTCTTGCCAGATCATGGTGGTTCAACTCCACAGTGGTATCAAAGGGACACAATCAGTGGAACTTTTTTTTTTCCTTCAAAGTTTGCTCTTTTCCTTGGCCAGCAATACGGGAATGAAAGCATCTCGGGAGCTCTTGGTGACACTGAAGCATGCTATCACAGGGGTAAGTCACTTGTACTCCACTGTTACGTTGCCAAACTATGATGCTCAGTAGGTTTGGGGCATTAACCTAACCAGACCCAATAAGAGACATACACTACCTGCTTCCACAATCCGTTCACCGAACTTCAGTCACATAGCTCTTTATCGATGCAAAAATGGTGATGCGGCTCAGCAGTTAAGACCGCTCTTGCAGAGGACCTGAGTTCGATTCCCAGCACCCACACCAGATGGCTCCCAACCACCTGGAACTCTAGGGAGATACAATACCTCTAGTGTAGTGAGCCGGACAGGATCGCCATTACAAGATGGCCCCGACATCCTGTCTTGTTGGAAATAAACAACTCCATATTTGGCTATGCCTTTGAGAGCTGCGTGTCCCCCGCTTCCCGCCTGTGCGGTGGATGAGGATCCTTGAGCCTATACCGATGCGGTCTGGTGTCAGCTGTTGGTGGCAGCCAATCACAGGGCAACCCGTGTGCCAGTTCCCTATTTAAGCAGCTGCCTAAGAGCCCTTCATCCCTTCGCATCATGCTCTCCCTGCCCTTCCCTTCCTGCCCCTTGTTTTCCTGCCCCTCTCGTTTCCTGCTCCCCATCAATCAAGGGCACTCCAGTAAAGCGTGATCTGAGTGAAATCCTGGTGTGGTGGTTGTTCTTTCTTGCCGGTTGAGAGGTCCGCCACACTCTAGCCTCCGTGGGCACCTGCACTCACGGGCACGCACAGACACACAAACATACACATAATCTAAAAACCAAAATAAAAGACTAGGAAATATTTTAAAGTATTTCTCTTAGTTTCTGAGATTATAAGAAAATTCTATCATTTATCCATTCCCTTTCCTCCCTCCAAGCCCTCCCATATACCCATATTCCTCCCTCTCAAGTACATTCATTGTGTGATGCTCGCAGGGTGGACCATTTGGTACCGAACAACCAGTTGTGTGCTCTTCCCTGGGTAAGGCTATTTCTCCAGCTCTCAGCATTCGGAAGTTGTCTGTAGCTCTTTGTGTAGGGTCAAGGCTCCAGACAACTGAGGTTGAGGCTACAGACATTTCCCTGACCACCTTAGCTTTTCCATTGCTGCCCTTATTCAGTTCAGGTCTAAACAGCAGTGTTCTTTATGGATATAGCATCTGACATAAGGCTATGAAATCTTAACTTCACTGTGTGCCTACTTGAGTCAGATAGTAAATTATAGAAGGATATGTTGTTTGTAGGGAAAGAACGTCTTGAAACTTGATTACTTCAATCCAGTGTCTTTGCTAGCTCATGGACATTTCTAGTATCTACAACCCCCCCTGCAAAGAAAGAAAGAAAGAAAGAAAGAAAGAAAGAAAGAAAGAAAATGCTAAGAAGCGATGTAAACTCATTTTGGCAACAAGCA